ACTAATATCGACTTATTTTTTTCAAATTTTTATACTATCTTCAAATTTATATGTCATTAAAAAATAAAAAGATTATCGCTTTCTCAAAATCACATAAAAAATCGTATTATATCGATAGAGACAAAGAATAAAAATTAAACATTAAAATCAAGATTTATCTCGCTATATTGCACGAGTACCCTTCTAGTATATATATATATATATATATATATATATATATTCTAGCAATAATTCTCTTTGTTATACAATGTACTAAAAGCTCTCTCTAAGTCATATTTTTTCTTGCTTTTTGTGCTAAACTCATCAACAGATAAATCTTCATGAAAATCCGTTGAGCCTACGCTTGATAAATATTTTGCAAGTGTTTTAATCAGTGTGAGTGATATATAATATTATCTTAAAAAGGTTAAGATTCGATATCTTGTAATAAAAAGTGTATATGGATTCTATGATATCACAATGAATCATTTACAGTGGATTGTGGGTTCTGAGAAGGAGCATAGAAAAAGTAAAAGTAGTCAAGTTTGGTGAACTACTCTAAATCGGATGTTTTGTATTTTCTCCGCTAAATGGGTTTTTAGGATGTATTTGAGTGTCCTTGGCACAATGTCCTTAAAATAGATCCACCCCCTCTAGAGCGCCTGTTTTCCAAGATACAACGGATTAAACAAATATGAATACGTCGGACTGTACTGGATGCGTGAACTAAGAACAAAGTATTTTTGTATATTTCTCAACCTCTTACAGTGTACTAAAAAGGAATGGAAGACTCAAATATATAGGTGATGGTTTCATGTTGACATAAACCCATTGATTGAAACTGAAGGGAGTTAGGGAACTTGGAGGGTCAAGATTTTCACCCATACCCTACCAAATTCCCATTCACCTTTATAAAATCCAACAATGCCCACATGAATAGGAATTGTCCTATATGTCACAGAAACATAGTTTCAAAGTTCAATGGTTGAACCCTACAAAAGATAGGTAGGTGTTGTCCTTAGACATGATGTCCTTGAACTGTTCTATTGTTAGTGTAGACAGTAAGATACTTCACATGGGATTCTTCCTCACATAGTAAAGCCCTCATTGGTGTGATTGGTGTGGTCATGAACACTAGATTGGTTTTGTGAGAATTGTTAAGAACTTATCCCCCACGATTCCCTTAGAAGCGACATCACTTCTTCTCACATAGATGATCTCAATATGATCATTAGAAGCCATAAGGTTAACTTGGTACCACTAACACTATTTATTAGAGGAATGGTTAGCCCCCTTCCCCCCCCCCCCCCGGTTGATCTAACATAAGCCTAATCTTGACTATCTTTGGCAGAGGTGCAACAACTTTTGCTAGGCACCCCCACACTCGCAAATATTAATAAGACGGCTTTCTCCCAGTCCATAACTCTTGTGGAGGTTTATCAATTTTCTTTCGTGGCACCTTTTTTAACAGGTGATTGGCGGATAAAAAAGCTTCCCACCCAAGTTTGGGGGTACTGCTGAACTAATAATCATGGCATTCATCATCTCTTTTAAAGTACGATTTTCCCTTTCAGCAAAGTCATTTTTGATGAGGAGAATAAAGTGCAGGGAATTCATGTTTTATACCATGGTTTGCAAAAAGGTATGCAAAGGGTGATCCATATTCACCGCCTCTATCACTTTTCAACGCCTTCCAAGTTGATTCTCAACTTTATTTTTATATGAAATAAACTTATCGAAGGCTTCATCTTTACTCTTAATTAAATACACATAACAATTTTTTTTGCTATCAACAATAAACGTAATGAAGTAGTTATTTCCACCTCTTGTAGGAACTGATTTCAAATCACACACATCCGAGTGAATTAAATCACGAGGGTTAGTATTTCTTTCAATAGATCGAAACGATGATCTTGTTTGGTTAACAAATGATTGGTTCTATATATATAGCCATAGGTTCATTTGAGAAGTGATAAGTATTTGAGAAGTAGAAAAGTGATCCTAGCCCTTCATTTAGTCAAGATTTGTGGCTTTGACTGTGAAGCACTGGATAAGTGCATATGTGAACTCGTGTGATTCACATGTGAGCTATATATTCATATGTGAACCCGTGTGATTCACATGTGAACTATATGTTCATATGTGAACCCGTGTAATTCACATCTGAATTATTTAACTGATTCTCATATAAACTTGTGTAATTTACATATGAACTAATTAACTAATTTATATATGAACTAATTAACTAATTCATATATGAACTAATTAACTGATTCACATGTAAACTAATTAACTGATTCATATGTGAACTATCATATGCACTTACAGGTTCACATATGCACTTGTTTGTCGTCTATTTGTAAAAGTTACCAAACTACTTCTTTATTTTTTGCTTGACTAGTCAAAGTCACAATTTTTAACCATCTTGACTATCTGAAGTGCTAGGATCACTTCTTTACTTCTCAAATACTTACCACTTTTCAAATGAATATCTACCAATATATATATATATATATATATGTGTGTGTGTGTGTGTGTGTGTGTGTGAAACCAAAAGGTTTTCGTGAGACCCATAAGATCAATTCTCAACCCTTGGTTTAGATTTACAATCTAAACATTCATAATCACAAAATTGTCACGAGACTTCTCATTAATCACAAAATTGTCACCGTGCAGCTTTAGACAATTAGATCATTAGCTTATAAAGTTGATCAATGAACATAAATTGGTCTCATAAAAACTCGTGCTCTCACGTGAACCCTAACTTGAAAAAATTTAAAATTAAAAAACAAACAAAATAAATAAATAATTAATGAATTAGACGGTCCAGGACCCTCAGTACTCAGTAGTCAGCCCAGCCCCCAATTAGTCCTGTAACTTGTTGTTTGTCTTTTTTGTTCTTTTTGTGGGCCTTAAACTTAACCTCCTTTTTTTATTTTCATAAAATTTGAATTTTCATTAAAAATTGCTACTTTCATGAATTCAATATCAATTATTTGAATATATGATTGGAGTCGTATATGGTGTACACCTCAACTACTTTCTATTTTTATTTTTATGTTTGAATAATTCCTATTTACCTTTCTTTTTTTAGTTTGACAAATTCGATTAAGCACACGACAACGATATGAGTTAGGTGGAGACAGAGAAACAATGGTATATCGGTAGTTGCACAAACTGTTGTTATTTAAGTGATCGGGATTTCAGTGGGTCAAATCCTCCTTTATGCATGGTTGAATCGTTGGTAAATTAGAACCATTTGATATGATCAAAAAAAAATTGGAAACTAATAAACTTCATGTGCCTTTTGGACCATTTAGTTATCAAGCAAGACTTTCAGCTTTAAAGTACATATGTTGGTACGTCACTTTCAAGATCAAAACCATAACGTTCCATTGGTTCAACATAGACAAAGCTGTGTAATTGAAATCCTGGGCACATATATATATGCTTGCAACCACCGAAGGCGTTCGAAGACAGTTGAGTGTTGTTGGATATATAGTATTACATGTAATTAGCAAAGGGGTTGAAAGCTTTCCATGCATATCTTATACACACATCAATATCGACACTTAATTTTTGCATTCTCAATGCATAATTTAACTTGATTCTGATATAAAAGGGGGTGCATATGTATAGCATTCCCCTTTTTTGTTATTTATGGTGTCAGTGAATTTAGAGCATCTCTAATGCAAGGTTTTTTTTTTTATATAAGAAAAAAGATGTAGGTTTTTTGAAGAGAGTTTTATTTAGGTTCTTAATTTGTCGACGTAAAAATGATGTAATAAAAATCCCCTTGTGGTCACAGAGTTTTAGATGCGATTACTCCCGGCTATTTGTAAAGCAGATGGTCGCCCTAGGAACGAAAACCGGGACCGGTTATGGGAACGAAAACCGGGACCGGTAATGGCCGGTTATGAGAAAGTTTGGGACCGGTCCGGCCTGGCCCGGGACCGGTTTTTGGCCATAACTACTTGAGATTAGTCGGCTCATATAGCGGATTGGATATCCAATTTAAATTTTTTTTTTTAAATATGAAAAATTAAATGAAGGTAATAATACAAGATTTAGGAGAAATGAAAGAAAAGAATCTTGGTGAGATGAATTAGTCGTTTTACAAAGTAAACAGAATCTTAGAATATAAATTTGTCGTTTTGTGTGTGAGCAGAATATAAATCTGTGAAGTAAAGATCTTCATGCATGTGCTCATTTTCTGCCAAATGGAAGAAAACAAAGAATCTTGAAAAAGATTCATGGCTGTTTTTCCTTTATTACCCCTGTGATGCATCCACTTGTGGTCTACAGTCCAAGGACAGAAGTGGTACCCATTTGTTTGGGGAGGGAGGGAGCTTTTGGGCACGGGAAAGGACGATTCAAGACTACTTGCTCCCTTCTTTTTTCAAATTAAAACAAAAATCGAATATCTTTTCCAATCTGGAAAGTTATGCGACGCTCTTTTGTATGGTCGACCGCTTTTGCCCGAATATCGCATCAAATCACAATAATGTTTTTCCTGCATTCGAGCATCTACTGGCCTCAATGCCTCGTTCTAAATAAGAAAGGTTGTCGTGATTAATATGTGACGTTTGTATGATGTCTGGTTTCAACATGATGATATGGTTGTGTTCCCGAAAATGAATTCATAAACATTGGATAAAAAGCGGCATGCCCATTATTAAGGAAGGAGTGACAATCTTTCGCTTAGGCTCTTAAATTGTCATATCGGCTAGACTTGGACTATTTTTATCCATATATGTTAGTTAGAACCTTCGTTTTTTTAACGGGGCTTTTAAAAAGTAAGTATGGGGTTACACATATTCTGATATAGGCTAGGGGATGTCTATGCACCCGCTCTACTGTCTCGGTGTAATGTAATTTTTGTAGGGTTTTTAAAGGTATACCCTCTTTAATTTGGTTTGTGTTCACCTAACTCATAGTGTCATAAACTCCCAAGTTTGAATTTCTTTGGTTCTTTTTTTAGTTTTTTTAGTCTTCACAAAGGTTACTAGTTTAAGTGCCCATCAAGACCACCGAAGGGTATACTTGACTCTTAACTTCAAGACCTCACACGATTAGACGATCGATCATCGTGTGCACAAACAGACCCGAACCAGATAGTTACCGAAAATCAAATTAGTGAGGTCTTTACAATTCCCGGAATTTCATTTATTTTTATTCCAAAATACTGAAGAAAATATTCATAATGAAGCAACCTAATCAAACAATGTTGTTTATTTGTTGTGTGCATTGAATCACTCCCAGATGCCAACTTCCATGAACCCATTTTCAGTGGCGCAGCCCCTAAACATCCCTACGCAATTGAACCCATAAGCCACCTCACCTGTGTTTGACACTGCGATCAACCCTGCTTTCCCTTCGTCTAACCTTTCCTTGATCACAAAGTCCACCGCCTCCTGTAACCCCAACCCTTTGTACTCCATCACCGCACCCACTTCACGAGCCAGGGTCCCTCGTATTATGGCTTCACCTTCCCCTGTGCACGACACCCCACACAGCTCACCCGCGTAGGTCCCTGCACCGATAAGAGGCGAGTCACCGATCCGACCCATTCGCTTGTTTAGGAGCCCTCCGGTTGACGTTGCGGCCGCACACCGACCTTCGCTGTCCACCACCACGCACCCTACTGTCTCTGGTGCATAGATGCTGATCGGAAGCCCGTTCATGTGTATTGGACTCTGAACCCCGGTTCCACATGATTCGTAACCAACTTGCGGGATCCTATAATCAAACTGTTTGCACCAGTAAGAGAAATTCGTTAAGTTTTCGATAATAAACCATATATATATATATATATGTATATTATATGTATGTATGTATATAAGTATATTATATGTGTATTATATGTATATTATATGTATGTATTCGGGATTGTGTTATGGGGTTTGCACAGTGGGACCCATTTACGAAACTATTAGGAGTTTTATGTCTGTAGGATCGGGTCCCACTTGTTTATGAAACTTACGCAAGGTTCCATGATTGTAGGATGAGATATATATGACATGATAAAACCATGAACCGGGTTCCATGGAGATGCCCTCACACAACACACACACACACACATAATATATATACATATATATATAATTATAAAGTAAGGTAATTACCACAATAGAATCAGCTTCCTTTGCTAATTTGAGCATTTCAAGGTTGTCCTGGGTGATGAAGTAGTCATTCTCCACGGTTTCCACACCCTAATAATGCAAATTTTGAATATTCAATCATCGGAAAAAGTAAAAACAATGGGATTTGTGCTTTTGATGAATTAAAAAGTAGATTATATGATATCTCAGATACAAGAATCTTGTAAACATAGAATATTCAAAGCTAAAATTGTCCTATTTGGCTAAGCAAATGGCTCATGAAAGTGGCTTTTTATCAATGAAAGACAAAAGCAATTAACAAAGAACCATAAATTAGATTCACTACTGTTTGTCGTCTACGGAAGAGACATGATGGTGAAATTTGTGGTGTAGAACGAGAATTCAGGAGTGAAAGTGAGGTACCATTTGTTTGGCGAACTTCTCGGCACCGGAAAAGGCAAGATAGGAATGTGGAGACTTGTCCATGACTAGGCGAGCTAATGAGATCGGGTTCTTCACGGTGGTGAGTCCTGAAACAGCACCACATCGCCGTCCGGAACCGTCCATGATACTGGCTTCCATTTCCACCGTACCATTCTCGGTCAGTGCAGATCCACGGCCGGAATTGAACAGAGGATCCGTTTCCAATTCGCGAACCTACATTAGTTATGCACTCGGAATTCATTATTACGAACTAATAAATCAAAACACCAAACAAAATCGGATCCGACACCAACCAGATCTGAAAACAACAAATCTCAAACACATGGCATGCAAAACGAAATTGCGACAGTATTTCAATTCATCATCAATAATCAACACAAATCATGAAAACATACATACATACAAATGTATCGCATCAACAGAAGCTCGTATATACAGAGACAAGAGAGGGAAAGCTTACAACGAGTTCAACGACGTCAATGGCAGAGAGAGAAGAACGAAGAGCATCGATTCCGAGATTGAGGCAACGTGTGAGAAGTTGTTTAGCCTCCTCTTGGCGGTCGGCCGGAAGGTTAGGGTCAACACCGGCACCGCCGTGTACAGCTATAGCCCACCCCGCCATTGTATATATCTCTAGTGTGTATGCTATCTTAATGGAAATTGGTTGTTGCTTTGTGTGCCCTAGGAATTAGAGGTTGAGCTTAATCGGGAAGGTGGCGGGATGGGGGTTATTTATAGGGAGTTTCGGATTTCAAGTTTACTTATCAAATCTGATTTTGTGTTAATATACCAATTAAATTTTTATTTTTTTTCTGAGTTGGATTGAATTAGATTAGTTGGCAGCCACGTAGGCTGCGCACGTGTCAATTAGGGAAAGTGCAAGCAAGGCTACCAAGTTCGATCCAACTTTGATTCTTATCAGGCTGACTCTTAACTTCCATTTAAAGTAATCATATTCCTCCTTTATTTGACGCTTAATTTTTAGTTTTTAACTATTTTTAGTGCTAATAAAAATATCAAAAAAAATGTAAAATAAAAAACAGTCTCTATTTTGTAGCTCAGTTGATAAAGAGCTAAGATAATTTTGCTCAAATACAGAACAGGTCATAAGGTCCCAGCAATGTTATCACTTAGATCCGGAAAACTGATTTCGTTTGTACTACGATATTGGATTGAAACAATACCAGAAATTTATATGTATAATCAACATATATATATATATATAATTACATATGCAAAAACAACAATGAAATGAGTAAGAATTTGATCACTAACTTGATTATCTTGATGGGAATCCAACGAAGAATGAGTCTAAGATTGAGGCCTGCAGTAGCAGTGTCCTTAAACAGAAATTCGTCCAGTGTACGGTGAATTGGACGTCTATCTAGAGGATACAACAGTCCGTTCAAGAAACAAACTTGAACCCGACGAATCGATTATCTTCCATATGAGATCGATTGGAACCAGAGAGGCAAAAACCCAGGAAACTTTTCTGTAGATCCGCCAACAACAAAAAAACGAGAATTGAAGAAAGTATATGTCATATATCTTAATTATCGGACAAAGCAGAGCCTCGGTTGCACCCTGGTTCCTGTCACCACCCGGCCAAACTCGCTAATGTTATCAAGAGACCCAAGGTCCTCATGATATTTAATATGGCAATTGTACATTAGTTATGGCCTTGGTCATATAAGACACTTGAAAATTTAAGATTTAGTCTATGTGGGACAAACCAAATGCCCAACAAGCACCTTCTCCCCTGCGAGTACTAGTCTTAGTCGTTGTGTGAGTCAAAAATATCTAATAACATTTGTGTTTAATGTAGGCAGGTTTCATATGGGGTTGATTGAGGTTGTCGGTGATCAATTTTTGCAAAAATGTAAAATCAAATACAATGTCACGAATATGTTATCATGATTACTTACTAAATAAATATATATCTTTTAGCAAATTCAATGAGTGAAAAATATCTAAAACAATATGTTAAATAAGGTTAAGTCACACGCAATTATTTATAAATATTCTCGATTATATAAATACAAAGTATGATGCTAAAAAAGATATCGAAATATTATTTTTAAAATAATTTATATAATTAAATGGGTCCAAAAGGGATATTGAAAAGATGTGGATGGGTCAAATTTAGGGCTTAATTGATTGTCCTTGACCAATGTTAAGATTGCCTTTATATAATTTGGGGGCTGGTGGAATTATTAAAAGACCCAGCCAATATTAAAAGGTTGTTTGGCAATTGTTGAATGGTTTGGTGTAAAATGATTAAGTGGTCAGAATGATTAAGAGGCTCTCATGATATAGTGCAAAATGAAATATAATTATTTGGTAATTGTGTACGATGAAATTAGGGCTCTTAATGGTTAAGGGAGATCCAGGATACAAAATTATTCAGAAGGTTTTGGAACCATTAAGAGACAGATTTTTTTTTGCCAAACAAGATTCACCTGTTAACGATTCAGAGACTGTCTCTTAATTGAACTATTAAGAGGTAAACAAACAACCCCAAAGTCATCATGGAATTAAGTTCCTGTTTGGTTTTATAAAATTGTATTGGACCAGATATTTATTTATATTGGTATCTTGGTAATTATAATTTATATAAAAATTAATGAGTTTATTATAAAATGAGATAAACCTTGAAGGATGTAGAAAGAAATCAAAGTCATTAATGTTGAAATTCTTTTGGAGACTCAAAATCAAATATGTAGTAGATTTTTTATTTTAGAAATTTGAACATTGTATTTATTATTTAGCAGCCCAATATATTTAACAAAGATTTTATATAAAAAAACTAATTAAAAATTTCATTGGTGGAGTTTTTTCTAAATTTTTCTAGGGCCCAAAATAGCAATTTATTTTTACAAATTTTCTTATTATAGTATTGTATTTTTAATTTTTCTTATTATAATAATGTACTTTAAAAATATTTTTTAGTAGGGCATCATACTTTCAAAAATTTACTCGTTATAGCATTAGGTAACCTTTTAAACTAAATTTACCCATTATATCAAGGTTTTTTGTCACTTTATCGTCCATGTAGGTTGTCCACATGTACGATAGTGCTGACATGATATTCCTTATTATAACATTGTACTTTCAAAATTACTTTATTATAACATCACCAATTTTTATTACAACATTGTACTTTTAGTTTTAATATTTTTTATCATTTAAACATCGTAAATTTATTCAAATATATTTACTAAAGATTATAATATCAAAAATTAAACATGTTTATAAAAAAATCATTATTTTATAAATAAAAATATTCATAAAAAATTATTCATTTGTTGAATTCATGTATGTATATATGTATGTATGAATGAAGGTGATAAGGATCCACGGTGGTGATTGGTTGGATGACGAGTAAGGAATTGAAGGATTATTTATTATATTGGATTGAGATTAGAATGCAAAGTGTTTTTCATGTAATCAGGTTTGAATTATTCTTTGCGTCATACTTTGAAAACACTATAAACATTGCATTTTAAATTTTTTCTTTTGAGGTTATATCAAAAATTGCTTTTTTTATTAATCTGGATATCTAATCCGTTATACAAGCCGACTAATTTCAGGACGACCATATAAACATTTGTTCTGTCTAGCTCTATCCATTCAACCCTCTTGTCATGTCCAGTCATATCCTCTTGTTCTATCCAGTCCTGTCCCGATCATGTTTGCATACCAAACACTACCTAAATGTTTGATAAATGATCCTAAACCCTAAAATTTAATGATGATTTTTTAAATCATATTTAATATATTTCCACTTGCCTGAACATTTGAAATAACGGAAATTGATCAAACTAGTTGATTTCCCTAATAATTCATTTTCAGTTACTTTTGGAATTGAATAGAGTTGTTCACCGGAGGGAGACGTTCCACTCGACCTTCCCCATCCGAACCAATAGGACAACGGACTTGGACTACCATTCTTGAGAAAATGGTTGGGTCGAGACTGACTTGTTAAAATTAATGAGTGGGCATGGGTGATGCAAAAAAATGGGCAACCTTGCCTAACCCATTAATATTTTATAAAAAATAATTTATATAATTAAAGTTGAAAATTCTTGATATTTATCGACACTCTTCAAAAATCTAAAAAGTAAAAACATAATTAACTCAAATAATCTAAGTTATGTATACTGTTATATATTTACAATTTAAAGTTAGAAAAATAACAATTATGTATTTAAATTATTTTACAAAACTCGTCATTTTATTTAGTTTTGTTTTGTTTTTTTTAATATAAAAAAAAGTAATTAGGGTCGTTAGCTAGTAGGCAAGCCCAACTCGTTTATAGAGTGGTATAGGCAAGTTTTCAACCTTGTAAAAAAGGCTTAGGTTTGTTATATTAGGCCCATCCGTTGGACATGAAAAATAGGTTTGGTCTGGCCCAAACCTGCAAATGAAGATCATTACGCAAATGTTAATATTTACGCAAACTTGTGTAAATATGTTTTTCTAATCTGAAAATCGAGTTCACACAAATGCACAAAACATTTACGTAAACTATGACGAAAATGAAAATTCAATTAAAAAGTGAACATGGTAGGAAAAATTGACTGTTTTGATCAATTCCCATTGAATTAATCAATTTCACTGGTTATAATATTTTTCAGTGAAAACACGTCTAAGTTAAATGAATTATGATAATGACATTAAGAGCATCTCTAATGGACCTCACTTCCAACTATTAGATGGCAAAAAATGGGCCCCGAATCGGGCTCAAAACAGTCCCGGTCTCAAATACTATTTCCGTAACCGGTCCCGGTCCCGACCAAAAACCCTAGACCTAGTTAAGGTACTTTGTAACCGATTATGAGGAGTGGTCCTCGGCCAGGCCCAAATCGGTTCTATTTTTTTTTAAATCAATTTTTTAAAGAATACAAATGTGTTATTCTAATACACTTGAATAACAAGAATTCTGAACGTTTGTGAGTTGATATCTTTCTACATACAACATATGACTTATATACAGTGAATAGAAGGTAAATAAGACAAAAGATGGGTCAAAAATGGTCATATGACTGTTGAGTATCGACAATAAAACAATAATGTTTTTGAAAAAATGGATCGGTCCTTGACCGAGCCGGTCCCAAGTCGGTCTCTATCCCGAGCCAGACCGGGCCCATTTGACCATCTCTAATTCCAACTCATCAAATTTAAAACTTATATAAAAATCTATAATAGTGATTGTTATAATAACTTTTTTTTATTAACCTGGATATCCAACCAGCTATGCGAGCCGACTAATATCATGACAACCACCTGCTTTGCAGATAACTCGGAATTACCGTATTTGAATTTCTGTGGCCATAAGAAGATTTTTATACCTCCTTGAATTTAAACCTGAAACTTCCTAATATTTTTGACTTTTGGAGCCAAGCTCTAATCAAGAAACACATGTGGTTATAACCTCTATTTTTAAGATCTCATATATTTTTTTCAATATTAATATATAAAATATTAATAATTATTAAATTAATAAATATATTAAAAAAACTAGGAAATATGCATCGATTTCTCAACTGCATGACGTGACTACCGACCGTACTGGAATGAAGGTGCATTAAATAAAACGTGATCACATCGTAGTTATCTTGAGCTCGCACTCACATGAATATCAACCATCTGTGCCTTGTAGTTTATAATTTTTTAAAGTCCGCAATTTAATCAGATTTTCAAGTCCACAGGCCCAGATGTCAATAGGTGAAAAGTACCATCCAATAAATATTTGATTCAACCACCGGTCGTTTGCTTCGTCTTTCTGCGGCTGCCGGAGGATATCTGCTCCGACGTAACGTCTCCGCCGTGGATGAGTCAGTTATCTTCATCCACTACCGGAGTTACCAGCCGCGGTCGTGACGACGTCCTAGATTATAGCTGTAGATCAATGGCGGACCAAGGTTTGCCGGACTTCCTTTTGCCTCCATCGGGGAAAGAGGTTGATGACGGTGTTTTTGTTGCCAACGATGTATCGAATCTTCCAGACGCTTGTTTGGCTTCAATTTTTCATTTCCTTGGACCTGGAGATCGGAAACGGTGTTCGCTCGTTTGCCGGCGGTGGCTTGACGTCGAGGGGCAGAGTCGTCACCGTCTCTCCCTTAATGCCCAATCGGACCTCCTTTCTGTCGTGCCATCTCTTTTTTCTCGATTCGACGCCGTCACGAAACTCTCCCTCAAATGCGAGCGTAGATCGGTGAGCATCGGCGATGACGCTCTCATCCTAATATCTCTCCGCTGTCAAAACCTCACCCGTCTCAAGCTCCGATCGTGCCGACAGTTGACAGATTTAGGCATGGAGAGCTTCGCGAAGAATTGTAAGAAATTGAAGAAGCTTTCGTGTGGATCGTGCACTTTTGGTGCTAAAGGAATGAACGCTGTAGTCGATAATTGCTCATTGTTGGAAGAATTATCGGTGAAGCGGTTACGTGGCCTCGCCGATGGAGCCTCGACGGAGCCGATTAGGCCTGGTTTAGCAGCAGCATCTCTTAAAATTATCTGTTTGACGGATCTCTACAACGGACAATGCTTTGGACCGCTCATAATGGGATCAAAAAATCTAAGAACCCTAAGGCTTTTCAGATGTTCTGGAGATTGGGATAACCTTCTGGAAGTTATCACCAACAACGTTAAGCCATTGGTTGAGGTGCATCTGGAGCGTCTCCAGGTGACCGATATTGGCCTTGCATCCCTTTCCAATTGTCGAAATCTAGAAATCCTTCGCCTTCTAAAAACACCCGATTGTTCTAATTTAGGATTAACATCTGTCGCACAGAAATGCAAGCTATTGAGAAAACTTCATATAGATGGATGGAAAACCAACAGAATCAATGATGAAGGTTTGATTGGAGTTGCTAAATATTGTCTTAATCTTCAAGAACTTGTTCTTATTAGTGTCAATCCTACTTCTTCTAGTCTAGAACGATTGGGTTCAAACTGTCGGAAATTAGAGAGATTGGCACTTTATGAAAGTGAAACAATTGGGGATGCTGAGATATCTTGCATAGCTGCTAAATGCACAGCTTTAAGGAAGCTATGTATCAAGAGTTGCCCTGTATCTGATCATGGAATGGAAGCATTGGCAGTTGGGTGCCCAAATTTGGTGAAGATTACGGTGAAGAAATGCAAAGGAGTAACGTATGATGGTGCTGGGTGGTTGAGGGCCAGTAAGGAATCGTTGGCTGTTAACATAGATGCGTGTTCAAGGTGCAGCTAGCGATCTTCAAGCTGCTATTAATGCTGTCGATCAACATCACTCCTAAATTAGCCAAATTCTGGATATTTAGGTGTCAATTGTATATGGACGTGGGGATTATGTGAGACCGGACTGTTTTTAATTTTTTTATACTTGAAACTTCACAGCAAAATACTGTGAAGATACCCTTCATGATGTTTTTGCTGTAAATATTTTTTTTTAATCTTTTCAAATGCAAAAATGGTGTCTCATGTGAACCCAACCCATTGTATATATATGTTATACTAAAAGGGTACTCGTATGATATAACGATATCCATTTCGATTTTATTGTTTTGATTTATTTATTGTCTTTGTTGATATTATATAATATAATTTTACGTGATTTTAAGAAAACGATAATATGATGTTTGATTAAAATATAAATTTGAATATTTCATAAAAAATAAAAACCGATATTGGTATTAATAAGTTAACTATCTAAAAGTTTTTGGTTTTTTGTGTAATTTGTTTAAATCAATTTTTTATTATAATTTAATTTAAGTTTAATAATGAAATAATTTAATTTTTTATAAACATAATAATCAAGTATCTGTTTGAACTCAATTATTATCTTAATTATATTTTTAAATTTAAAATGAAATGTTTATCATGTATTTAATTATGTTTACCTACAGTTAGTCATACGAATTCAAGGAGCTATAATAAGTTGTACTTACATACAATTGACTTGTAATCTTGAGTCTTAAGTAATATGTATCAGTAAACAATACTTCATACATAAAAAAAAATTATTTTTAAGAGTTTTTGTCAAATGCTTTATAATATAACTAGAAGAATACTTGCACAATGCAGCGAGATACATTTCGATTTTACTGTTCCATTTTTTTGTCTCACTCGATGTTATAATACGGTTTGATGTAGTTTTGAGAAAACGTTAATTTTTTTTATTTTTAATAAAATATAAATATGAAGGTATAGCATAAAAGTTGGAAAAAAAATATTCATATTAGTATTAAATTAACTATTTAAATTTTTTTTTTTTGTATTTCTTTAATTTTTTTTTTTGTTTAATAATATAATTTTTTATAAAGATAATAATTAAGTATTTTATTATAATTCAATGATTATTTTAATTATATTTTAGATATTTTATATTTAAAATAAGATGTGTATCCTCTATTTGATTAAGTTTAACTGCAGTTAGTTATACGAATTCAAACATGAAGTTTTAATAAGTTGTATTTACGTACAACTTATTTATAATCTTGAATTTTTAAGTAATATGCATTAATAAACATTACTTAATGCATAAAAATAATTTTTAAGAGTTTTTATCAAATACTTTATAATATAGTACAGATAACTAGAACGGTACTCGAAGAATGTTGCAAAATATATATCGATTTTGATGTTTCATTTTATTTTTTTGGTCTCTGTCGATATTGTAATATGAATTTATGTGGTATTGAGTAAGCAATAATATTTTTTTAATATAAATTTGAAGATATTATAAAAACTGAAATATAAATCTGGTAAACAGTCCATGGATTTGCACAAGACTTCCTCATTATCATAGACTTTACCATGAAGCTTCAGATTGTTGAGAAGGTTGTTAGACCTATTATAGTACTCAGTGGGAGATTCATCTTTCTCATGTACAAAGAGCTCATATTGTCTGACGAGACCAATCTTCTTACTTTTCTTCCTTCAATGGTTCCTTTGTATAGAACACAGAAGGTGTTCCACATGTCCTTAGCAATAGTGAGATTCAACAAGGAGAGACAGGGCAATGATAACCCTTACTTTGATATACAAGAAAACTTTCATTTTGTCATCTTTATTGTACTGCTTAGGATTTTTGATGAAATAAATCATAAATAATTATTTTGTCTAAATTAATTGATCAGATATGTGCCAAAAAAAATAGGAATATTAATTTCATTATACCCCGTACGTCATAAAGTTAATAATCATGGATAAGTCTACTTCATTGATTGTCAACCACAACTTTCGCCTTTTTGGATAGATAAGATCATATAAGTGCATCAATCACTTCCAAAACTAATTAAAAAAAGTCGTTCCTTACTTTCCATCAAACTTCCAAAGTCTCGTCTCTTTTAGAAATATTGCTAAAATACTTGTAACGCATTAAACTAGAGTCGATTTCAGTCCAAGTATACTCCATTATCGACCACTCCCATCTATTTGTCTCTCTTGTAGAGATAAAAATGATTGCATTATATTGGAGTATGTATCACTCGAAAATATATTCTTACTTTCCAACAAACTTCCAAGTTTCCATGTAAAATAAAGTTGTTTGGTATGTTAACCAACATGTGCGAAAATGTTTTGTTTATACAATGTTGTTTTATGTGTAATTCGTTCAAGACCATTTTCCCATATACAAAACAGTCATGAACGTTTACATATGAAACAACATTGTATAAACACTACCTTTTCACAAACATTGTTTCACAAAAACTGGTTTGCAAGTTTTGTATGATTTATTGAGTTTGTAAAATGATTATGCGTCTTTTAACATATTCATAATAAGGTATATATAGGGGAGTATAAAGTGTGTGAGAGCACCGATCAGGACAAGCGAAGTCACTGATCGGGAGACACTAGATATGGCCATAAACAGGTAATCTGATAGATGATGCAAGTAGTTAAACCAAACAAAAACATGTTCCTAATCCGAAGAGACAAGAAGCTCGGCCCGAATCATATATGGTTTTCGTTTGATTGCAAAACAATGGCAAAGAGAGGAAACGAGCAACGACATTGCAGAACAACAGAGACGAGAGACAAACAAGATTCAAATGTTTGCAACCACAAGAGGAAACGAGAGATGAGAGACATGGGTAATTACGTAATATGGCCGCCCCTGATCATATGACAATGGCCAAAAAATGAGTGTTCCAGAAACCATTTGAGCAATTCAGAGGTGGTGATTTGTTTGCCAAACCAAATCCGGGTCTGATCAAAGAAAGGTTGGCTCCCATCCTCCTTAACTATGTATGGCCAATTGGACGTTGGGCTTTGAATGATTCCACCCGGATGCAATCAAACGCCCACTAAGGTCGTTTACCAAATGCTTACTAGGTGAGCATGGTAAGGACCAAAAATCTTATCCGGTAAAAAGCATAGCAAGGGCTGAGAATCTTACCTGCTAAGTGATGGAGAAGACTCTTACCCGGAAAGGTTTATCGGGTAAATACAATTTGATGGCAAAGAATGTCACTTGATAAGGTAAATGAGGGTGATAGACTACTCTACCGGTGAGTGCTTACCCAATAAGTGTTTGGTAAATGGCCCCTAAGTTTCTGTTACCTTTGGAAAGGTAACATATTGGCTACCTCATCAAGAACACGACTTGGTTCTTGTAGCTTGAGAAATATCTTGGTTTCGTTGACAATTCATGAAATATTATTAGTGTTCTTTGCAAACTTTCTTGTTCTTTGTTGATTTGTTCTACTAGGGGTGAACAAAAACCCGAAAACCCCGAAAAACAACCTACCCCACCCCACCCCATTGTTTGGGTGCTTAATACTTCTAAAACGTTTTAAACGAGTTGAGATTTTTAAACCACAATCCTTAGATTGGGTTGTTCAAAGGCCTTCAAACCAGCCAACCCAACCCATGTGCACCTCTATGTTCCACAATCCTACGACTTAAGCTCCATGGATGTGATGAATAGGCTAGTGAACTTGTAAGTTTGTAACCTTAAACTTTATCAGGAAACTGTGGATTGGGTAGCTGAAGCAACTCTTCTAGTTTCCATGATGATGAAGCATAGAAATCACTTGCCCATAAATTCACATTACCATGCAATTAGCACTTGGAACTCTCCAACACACCTAAAACACCTACTGTGCAATAAATAAACCATTTCTTTAATTACATAATATTTCTATACAGCAAATACTCACACACATTCCTCACTTTTGGTGAGGTATGAACCCTTGACCTCCTGGGAGGCTGTACTCCCTAGTACTGCTGGGCCAATGACCCTTTGGTGAATCATTGACAGCAATATATACACATATATATATGTGTGAGTGTGTGTGTGTCATATTCTGCACCCAACCGATATGATAATAACTATTTGTAGAATTTCACTGAAACTTTGTTGTCTGGAGAAGAAAATAATAAACAGTTGTTGAAATACTAGAAACAAAAAGCCGTATCAAACCTGATGCACAATGCAACAGCTAAATGTTTGCAGCATTTGAAGTTGGTCAAACTATTCTGCTTTCTTCCCTTTCTTTGTTGTCATCTCTTCTGGCTTCTTGTATAAGATGATTTGGCTTAAGATCGCACCATTTGTCAATATCCCAAGAACAGACCCCATAACAACTTTAAACAAATTAAGGAGAGCATTGAGTAAAGAAAAATGATACGAAATGAGAATGTTAATTGCTAGTCTGTAGAAGATGCTACTGAAATATGTTCCCTTGATGCCTTGACAGGCTATTTAGTTTATTGGCCTTCTACAAAACCGACTTTAAGAATTTAACCCTCTAGTGTATTTTCATGTGTTTCTGGGAACAGACTGTTTAGCACTAGAGGAATGCTGTTTGACAGGCTCATTTAAGTATATAGCCTTAAATGAGAATTTCATTAAATTTATGACCTCTTGACCTATTAAAAGAAAAATGGCTTCATACTCTTCAGAAGGTCATGGATTTAATTAAAATCTCATCAAAGGTTATACACCTAAATAACTCATGCTTAACACCAGATGCAGATCTGATGAAGGTCATAGAATTAACAAAAAATTTAAAAAGTTGTGGTCCTAATTGAAAACTCATTTAATAAGATCATTTAACAAAATGACTCTTGACTTGACTACCAATTAAAGAATAGTGGACATTGCCAATTTGCAAAACCACTCACCACCCTCAAGACAGACAATGAAAGGCCAACTAGAAAGCAAGAAATACACCAACCCAACAGACCATAGAGCATGCTAAAGAAAGGAGAGTCGATTTAGTTAAAGGAACTTAAATGAGTTTTCAATTAAGCACATGACCTTTAATAAATAAATAAAAACTCAATAACCTTCAAATAACTTGCCTTTGGTGTGAAGCGCACTTTATTAAATAACCCAGAAAAGAGCTTAGCAGCAAAATAATGTAAGATGTGTCTTAACAGAACTACAGAAGACTATGAGTGGGAATCCTTTGGTAATGATTATAGCAGTTACGTGCAATAGAAGAATCCAACCCGACCCACCCGAATCCACCACCTCCAAAAGAATGCAAATAAAATCTTAGAAATCTAAAATTTGGACTTGTGAGACCTTTGAACAAGTAGTGATGTGGTGTAAGCAATATCAAAGAAGGTATAATAAACTTAAACAGGAACAAAATGGAAATATTTACTGAGTAAATGGAAGATAATTATTTCAATAAATACAGGTTGAGGATACCACTTGTTGGAGCTTTTTCTTGAAGGCTGGTAAAAACTCTTACTGCAAAATCAGATACAAACAGCATAAGACAACTCTGCAATCATATCAATCTTTATGCATAGATTGAGATGTATTAAGAAAGAATTTACCTATAGAGCCAAGAAAATTCATAAATGAAGTTATGAAGCTAAGCTCCCCTGTGCTTTTGTTCTGCTCAAACATAACATACTCATCACCAACAGAAGTGTAATATTATCAACATCTGAGATCATAAGATACAGTTTGTGTGTGCTATCTTGGTGGTGCTTTTAAATCTCTTCTATTTTTAGGACATGGTGGGGAGCACATGATAACACTAATAGAAACCAAACCAAACCAAAAATATCCCACTCAAAAATAGGGTCTCCATCCAGGGGCATGTTGTTTTGGGGGGGGGGGGGGTCCACCTCAAAAGGTATAGCAATTGTTTCCGTGAAACCCGGACGTGTGAGCAAAATATGTGCTTGCTTCGAAACTTATATCAAACAGGCTCTGGTGTGTAGATAGTACCCATCAAATTGTAACTTAACATATCACAATACAGTAAACGCTGCCACTAACCTGTTTACTTTCCTAAATCCTTTTCTGTTCCTGTCTCTGTTTCACACCTGTGATATGAAGGCATATGACTACATGCAAACACACTAAACAAACTTTGAATATTTATCATTTATGATGTCTATTTTTTTATGTCTACATGTTATTCTACTACAACTTAGTTCATTGACTTGATACATGCATTAATCATCAAACTAGGGAAAGGAAACAAAAGGACGTCATGTTCGAAGGTCTTAAAATTACTTTGTTTGGATTACTTCTATACAAATTTTTCTTAATAATGAACTTCTTACATTGTGCCCTTCTTTTGTTCCCGTTCCCTAGTTTGATGATTAATGTATGTGGCAAGCCAATGAACTAACTTCTAGCAGAATAACATACTATTATATATTCAAAGTTTATTTGGTGTGTTTGAAGAAGATGTTGGGCATATTCCTCTTGTTTTCTCACTATTCTCCCTTTTTGCATTCGCCTTCGGTCGACCTATGACCATGGTGGTGTATGAGACCAGGGCCCTTTATCCCTATCGGTTTCTTGTCCTTTCTTTAGTCGTCATCTAATGGAGGAGATATAGGTTTCCATCCCTACTCTCTTCTCAGTTCTCTACTGTTGGTGTGCAGCCTTGTGTTGATGTTGGTCAAACCAGTAAATAAATGGGTGAAATCGTAAAAGATGCCATTTTTGGTATTCTATTATTTTGTTATTTTTCTTTGAAACAATCAACCCGTTCCACCCCATCCAAGGCATAGGATAAAACATAATATGAAATCCTCAAGCAAGAAAATTGCAAGGATGGGCCTTAGGATTCACACGCCCTCAACCATTATTGCAAACCAATGCTCCACAATTGAGGCTCCCTGCTTACAATTTCTGTTTGATCTTCATGTAATGATTCCCCCGTGGATAAGCAAATATTCTCTAGGATTAAAACAGTGAAGAATTTTGGAACCCATCTGGATTTTGCATGAGAATGGACCTTGGAGGGATGAGGGATCCCAGTACCATGTGGCATCACTTACCAGTTACCACTAATATGCCTAGATGTACTTGTATGGAGAAACATGGTACCATGAATGGAACTTGGCCATCACCAAACTATCTTTCTCCTAATTGGCATAAAAAAGTAACATAAAATTACCCAAATTTATTCATCTCTCATTTTACCGATTTGTTCAATTGAGTACATTTTACGTCCCTCTTACATGCTTAATTTGCTTACATAAATCTCTAGACCGAAAAAGGATATCTGTCACAAAAAATGACTTTTTTGTAGTCAATCAAAGAATTTAATATGAAAACCTTAGAAAGTAAAACAAATTATATTGGTAACTCGTTTGCAGAAAATTGTCAACCAAAAGAAAGGGTACATATAAAAAGGGACAGACCAGATGAACATGGTAACAACGTTGAACATGGACTTGTAATAGATATTCCATCCTCCCCCCCCCCCCCTCTTTCATCCCAATATTAAAGTCCACTTATACTTTTGGAACTTCAACCCAACAACTTTCAAAATTAGAACTAACATACATGTTTTAGTTTATTTAAAGTCAAAATTATCTTCAGAGAGAGTTCATAACTTAATGCACTCAACAATTATGTCTACAACCAAAACAAGGGTTTACAATTTTCAATTGAAAAGGCCCTTTGTTACTCTAATATCACGTGGCATCTAATTTTTTGGATGGAGGCGGTAACTTTCTTGTTACCATCTTCAAAATTAAAACTAGATGTCAATTGATGAGTGTAAGACCTATCCCATTGCTCCATAACGACCCCAATTTGATTGTCCATGAAAATTTCAGGAGTTTTATTTAACTTCCCAAGCTCCCACATCAAAAATCACACCTCTCATTATTTAAAGAACCCATCCTCCCAACAAAATCTGCCTCCTCCCTGTCTTTATCACTACAGAAACACAAAAGATAAAAACATAGAAAGAAGAGTGCTTGATGAAACAATTTAAAGTGAGTTGAATCCATACAACTTTTCAAGAAACTTTGAGAAAGATTTGTCAACCTTCACTTCACATCCTTATCTATCCCTCTCCTACCTTCTCAAGTTAGCACATAAAATATAAACCTCTCAGTGATTGAAAACCCATTTTCCAAGAAGATCTCTCTCTCCACTATCTTATTGCTAAAAAGCAGAAAGACAGAGAGAGGGAGAGAGAGAGAGAAAGAGAAAGAGGGAAGAATGTTTGACGTAACAATTTAATGTGAGAGAGAAGATTCGATTCGTTACCTATGTAGAAAGTTTCAGCAAGAGTCATATTTTCATCCCTTGAATGGTTAGTTTATTTCCGCTGAAGTGCAGACAGTAGTTAGCTGACCGACTTTTCTTGCTGCACCCAAACTGCAGGGTTCATCTAAATACCTCATGTTTTTTTTACTCAGTAGGACACCATAATGATACTTATTTTCATCAAGTTGGGAGAGTGTCTAACAATCCCTCCTTAATTGAAAAACTTTTCTTTATTTGGAAGAAGAAGTCGATCAAATGATTTATTTGGCCATCCAGTGATTCCAATACATTGCAGACTATTTACATGGTCCACACCTATGACGACAAGCACTTCCAATACATTGCGCTTACGGGGAATAAACTGCCGTTTTTCTTGTTCCCAAACAGAGTGGTCTAAACATGATTGCTTCTCTGGTTATTTCTTGAGAGGAGGGTAGTACATAGTAAGGCAAACTTTCAGATGAATACTCATTTTCATCATTTTTAAATCGTAGCTGTCATCATTTACTAGTTATCAAATAAGTGATAAATATTATCAAGGTTATGGCATGTATAGATATGCAATGAGCCTAAGTATTGCATTTACCACCTTTGACAAAGAAATATAAGAGCATTTACTTATGAGAAAGAACCTAGAAGAATTATGAGAATGAACTTTGAAAATATTGCAGGGAAGACAACTAGATTTTACATAATAACTGAAAGAGCACTGTCTTACTTTGGAGAGAATATTATGAGGGATGAAATTTAACAGCTAACGCTGTTAAGAATATTTACCTCAATAAACAATTCATTTTTTATCAATGACAAACAAAAGTTATAGCAAGGGAAACAACAAAAATGAAAGCTCGGCAAGCAGTAACTTACCTTAACGTTTTTCCAAATCTGAGGGACCCTGGCAAAGAAAAAGATAGCATGCTGGGATGCCTGAAACAAACAATTTCCTCAAGAGAGTTTAGAAATTTTCAAAAAGTAAGGTAAAAAAAGATTGGAAAGGTAGTTAAGCATGCACGAGAATAAATTTTTGAGCCAAAATCACGAAGTCTTTCACTTACATATAGTGCTTCAAAAAGAAGGGGATGAATTTTCCCAGCTAAGATTGTTGGTGCTAGACCACAATATCTGTGATAATATCATTGAGGAAATGAAGTTTATATACATATAGAAGTAGAAGGTGAAACCTTCCTAATAAATAGAGGCAACTTACAAGGCACATATTAAGGAACAAAATAATATAATTCCAACAATTGTAGGGTTTTATAACCAGGTAGGATACAGCAATGCACGGATCCATGTCGAGTTACCCACAGGCTGAGAGAAATAATAGATGGTTGCGACCAAGATTATAGCTGCAATGACCAGAAACAAGATACAGAATGCCGTTTATGACTCCTCAGCTGCAAGATATAGAAGTTCCAATATCCAAAAGAAGTATATATTGATTTTTAAAAATATAACTTCACAACAGGCCAAAGCAAATCAGGACAATCTGGGTTTTGGAGAAATTTCTCTTTCGTAATATAGAAATCTCTAACAAAGGAAACAATAAAGCTTGTTCAATCCTTCCAAATCTGCAAAGCTTTTAAAAAAAATAAAATATTTTTTAAATATTTCCAAATCTTTGTCACAAGCTGGGGATCTTCATAGACACATCCTCTCTACTCCTAGGAATAGAGGAAATGTATGTGTACATAGTGGGCTATACTGGGTAGGTTTGGTTTGACAAAGGAATGATTTGAGACCAGAGATGTCGATCTAAGTGAAACCAGGAAGGACTCCAACTGGTCAGATTAAAACAAAATCATGTATTTTAGGATATTCTTAGCAAAATATACCTAATTGCCTACAAAGCAAGCCAGCAACAGTAAAGCAGTTAAGCCCAAAAGCAAGGATACAAAATTCTTGGTTTGTGGTTGCAGGAGGACCAAGACAGTCCCAAAATATTATTCAAAATGAAATCCACAAAAGGGTTCATAATTTGTAGGTAGACAACGATTGCTTATCAAAGGATCACAGTTGAAGAATACTCTTGTCCTGTTACTGTTAGTACTTATAAAATTAGAAAGGTTCCTCAACAAGACATCCAAAATGAGATTGAAGATAAATTAGCCAGATAACCATATCCTCTTTTTTGACCAATTCACCTTGCTGGTAATGGAGGGACCTTAATTGCAGAAAAATGAACATGTAGCCTATAATGCCAACCATTGTAGTCATGGATGTCGATAGTTGGAAGTTCTAAATACGCCAAACTTTATTTGGACTCGCATAATATTTATTGGTTACAAAAATTATATTGTTAATCTGAGCAGATATGAATGCTCAAAGGATTCTTCTTGAAGAACTAATTGTGAAAATAGTCTCAAGCTCATTTCTTAGTGACACTTTTCTTTCATTTAATCCGATTATGTGATACCGATCTTTGAAGTTGAACATGCCCTTCTGCCATATAGTTCCATGGTCAATTCCTGAAGTTACTATTTTAAATAAAAATCATCATAGTGACAAAGTGATTGCGGTTGACTATGGTCCAAGGTATTGTCAGAGTTTGTTTCTCTTTATTATTTCCAGCTCAAGGTGACATAATCTTTAAGGCAAAAAGGTAAGAAAACAGATATTCCTTTGTAAGAATTAATTTTTTTCTTCAGATACAGACCCTTAGGTAGTGGGAAATCGTGTATAGGATGCTGGACATTTCTATGATGCACATGAGTATACAAGTATAATCTTCGTTTCTCATTGACATCAATACAAAAATAATATGTCCGGCGTAACACCTCACTCAAGGGACAAGGTTCTTGTACTACCAGAACTCCCAAGAGAAGTGATAATTTGCTGCTTACTATACCTTGGAGCAAAAGAAAGGCCAACTCCCCATAAGCTGAAAATGGAAGGCCGTTGTGAAGACAGTATGCCAAAGCTATGGTATAACCAACCACTTCCATTTCAAAGGCCACAACGCTAAGACCTCTGACACTCTTATGTTGAATGATTTTCATTATCTGTAAAAGTAGCATAAATCCAAGTCGGAGTCTTAATCACTCCATCCAACAAAAGAAAAATACCTGCTTATATAGGTGCATTTGTGCAGCATACAAAGGCAGAGGCATGTGCTTAGATATTATAATCAACTCAGCTGAGTCTCTTCAAACACATCAAATGTTACCAGACAATGATTTAAACTTATTCATTATAACAATAGTTGTATACCACCATCAAAACTTGAGAAGATTTTGATTTAAAGCACAATATTATAATTGAAACTGTGTGAATTGAAATCAAGGATGTCTAAAAACCGCACAGCATATGTTAAAATGGTTTCTTGATTAATGTACTTAATTCCAAATTCTCCCAGATCGAGTTCTGCTTAAAGCATTATTGAATTTCAGATCATACTGTGAAAGCAAATTAGTCATCAAAAGAATAATCCAATCTACTATCTAGATAAAAAGATGACTTAGATCCCATCTGCCATAGCTTAAGTAGATTTTGTTTTAAGCACAATACCATAATTGAAAGTGGTTAATAATCCATTGATAATTACTGATTACAACCTAACCATCGACATCTCTAACATTTAATGGGCAGTCCACAAGATTGGAAACTATCAGAGAAGTTGTCCGTACCGATAATCAACGATGATCTCAATTTATAGCAAAATTGACGAATAAATTTGAAGAATTGGAATCGCAAAACCCTAGAGGCCATGGAGGGTGATGTGATAACAAAAAAAATCGAATTGCGTAACCTGAGGTAGTTTAACGGTAGTGGAGGCGGCGACTATGGCGTAACCTAGGAGCTTAGAAATCAGAGGAAGCATACAGTCCTTTTCAGGGAACTTGCCGTTGCTTAATGATCCAAAAACACAGCTAAAGTCCATTCCAAGGAACTCCATTGGAGCCATTTTGATGGCCCGATGGAATTAAAGAAAGAAAGATGGCCTGACTCGGAGGAATCGCCGGTGGCTTCCAAGAACTCCGGCCAAAAATCTGAAGCAATATTTATGGATACGTTCCTTCAGAATTGAATCGTATCATCGAGAAGCCAATTTAAACAGGCCATTGACTTTCCATAGTTTTATTGGGCCCTAAAACAGCAATCTACCAAGTCCAAACCCACCCAATCTCGGGTCGGGTTTGCCCGGTTTTAAATCGGTTTCCGCCCTTTCAAAATCGGGTCGTCCTGTGTAGGGGTGAGCAGCGAAACCGGGTACCCGGCTATAGAACCGCCTTGGAACCGCCGGTTCCAGAACCGGAACCGATATGAGTGGTTCCGGTTCCGGTTCCTAAAATACGTTTGCGATTGAGAATGGTTCCGGTTCTCAATTTTTCAGAACCGTTACCCGCCGGGTACCCGGTATTTTTCAATAAAAAAATAATAATTATTTTTTAATACCAAATTTATATTAGGTTTACATCTTAAAAGCACGTCGTCATCTTCATTCTTCATCTAAATTCTTCATATAAAATGATTCGTATTTTTTCAAATTGTGTGTTCACTTGAATTCATAGTATGTAATCGTTAAACTTTGAACAATTACCATTATAGTATGTAATCGTTAAACTTTGAACAATTACCATTATAGTATGTAATCGTTAAACTTTGAACATTTTCTATTAGTCTATTATGGTTTGTAATCGTTAATCAATATTTGTAACCATTATTCTGTATAATTTGTATTTTTGCATATTTATTTAGTGTTTTGGCAATGTTTTATTTTTTATTTCTAAATAACAAAATTTTAATATTTTAGGAAGCGGGCACCCGGAACCGGAACCGGTTCCCGGTTCCAAAAATTTAGGAACCGCTCTAACCGGTTCCGGTTCCAATATCTCAAGAACCGCCGGTTCCGGTTCCGGTCAAAAAGGGCGGGTACCCGCCTATGCTCACCCCTAGTCCTGTGCGGTTCTGAACAAAAATCCTATGACTGATTAAGGCCCAGTAATTGGTTCTAATTTCGTCGGACATGTCGAAGATTATGACTATCATCTCTAAATACTATCCAATGGGATATTCGCAAGAATGGTGGTCATGATGGTATAACCTTTGACAACAACGAGGGAAATCGGTCCAAGAATACACCATGGAGTTTCGACGACTTGCGGCTGACGTTGGGAATTTCGACAGACAACGAATATGTCTTCACCAAATATGTTGTTGGGTTACATTGGCAAATTCAAAACGAGTTACGGCTTCATGCATAGGGGATGTCTCCAGTGCAAGTCGTGTCGCCATGGCCATTGAGTTAAAGAATAGATCCGGAGATTGTTTACCTTAAAAATCTAGTTGTTTACCTTAAGAAGACGGAAGTTGGCGTGTGTGCATTGATTACCGTGCTCTTAACAAGATCAATGTTAAGAATCGATATCCATTTCTCGTATCGATGACTTGCTCGATCAATTGAAACATGTTATTTTTACAAAACTCAACTTCAGTTAGTAGTTGTGGCGGTTGCAAAAAAAAAACATGACGTTGTTAAGGACTTTTTGATTTGCTAGGCTTGGTTGTTACCGTGGTAAACTCTTCTTGCAAACGAAAAGATATGTTATGAGAAAGTCACGAAGATAGAATTCGAGAGGAAATTGGAAACGGCAAAATTGAGACTGGCTAGGGGCTAAACCAAGAGATTTCGCTTGTACGAGCCGGAGATACACGATAGAATTTTCATCTTAAAACAATTATAAGTTTGATTGCTTTGTTTCCAGATGTTATAAAGGTGTTTGAATATGTTGAAGATGATGGTGATAATGGAGCTACTCGGCTTCAAGCAAGTGGTCTTTTATCATACTTCAAGATATTTGAATTTGTGTTTTAATATGCACTTAATATTAACCATTTTAGGGTTAACAAATTCATTGTCTCAAGCTCTTCAAACGAAAGATTTAGTCATCTTGGAAGCGAGTCATTTGATAAGAACACCCTTAGGACAATTGCAGATGTTAAGAGAAAATGAGTTTGATCAACTTTTGGAGAAATGTTGCTCTTTTGTGATGTTGGGATTTTAACATGAGAACTGATCCCGCATAGGAAGGGGAGGGAAATTTGGAGAGGCTTATCAGCTCCACAAGTCTTATCAAATTAGACTAAGCCCTTCTAACACATGGATTGAGTTTGGTGCCTGGCGTATATACATTAATGGTCAAATAATGGGACTTGGGCCTTTACTGTGGCCGCAGTATGTATGGGTCGAAATTATGTTTATCGTTGATTCCAAGTAAGTTTACTTACTATTTGACAATAATTTGTTATATAAACATAAATACATCAACGAAATATACGCAGTTCATTTTCCACGTGATTTTGATGACAAGGAAAATGTCATTATTAAACACGAACTTGACATCTACTATCATTCTGTTTATAATGATGTCAAATTTGCCGACTTGGCCAGATTGATGGTGGCAACAAGAAAACATCTTTCTCATCCTTTAGTCTATCGATTATTGAGACTAACACTGGTTTTGCTCGTTGCAACTGTTACGGTTGAAATATGTTTTTTGGCAATGAAACTTGTCAAGACAGATCTACATAATCGAATTGGTGATAACCTTTTTAATGTTGCCCTTATTTATGCTATAGAAAAAGAAGCACATGATAATGTTAAGAATGAAGATGTTATCGACCGTTTCCAGAAGAAGAAGACACGCTAGGACAAATTTAGGAGCTGTTTCTCAATAATATAAAAAAACATATTTTTTGTAATTATTTTTGAGCATATTTTGACAATTTTAAAAAATGAAGACGTGTTAAAGACGAATTTAAGAATTGTTTCTCGGTCCTATAAAAACCAATTTTTTGTGATTATTTTTGGGTCTATATTATATTATATTAATTATATGGTGCTATCGTTTGAAAAAAATCATGGGTCCATACCTGATTCCAACCCAATAGATATGAATTAACGAAATTTTGTATCAACTAATATATCAAGTTATCTTAGATTGAGTTTTTTTAAGAGGTGTTTGGGATTGCTTATTTGAAACAACTTATACTTTTATAAAAGAATACTTATCAACTTATTATAAGTCAGAAGTTTTTGTGTTTAACTTTTTCAAAAACTTTTTATTATCGATTTAACACCGATATAAATTATTTACCCAAACACTAAAAAAAATGTTTATTATCGATGTATTAAAAATTGCTTCGAAGAATCGAACAGCTTTGTATGTAAAAATCTTCTTCAAAGAGTAGTCATCCAAAGGGCGTACGTTAGCTACTTCCAACCTAGTTGAACGTAAACCAACTTTTGTCGTACCCAACAGTCTGTCTGTGTAAACCACCATCTGGATCTCTTTCTTTCTCTCTCCTTAATCGTTCATACATAGAGGAAAGAGGAAGAAGAAATCAATACAACAATGACGACTGTCGGTGGCGGTGGCGGTGGCGGTGGGGGCAACGATCTCAAACACTCTTCAGTCTCTGAATGGACCTACACTGTCTCCCGGCGATACCAGCACCTCCTAGACAAGTCAACCCCACACGTCCTCCGCCGTTGGATCGGTTTCGCCATCGTCTTCTTCGTTTACGCCCTCCGTGTTTACTTCGTTCAAGGTTACTACATCATCACCTATGGCCTTGGAATCTACATCCTTCAGCTCTTCCTCGCTTTCCTTTCTCCTCAGGTTGATCCAGAACTTCAAGATGGCCCTTCCCTACCTACCCTCGGATCCGAAGAATTCCGCCCCTTTGTCCGCCGTCTTCCTGAATTCAAGTTCTGGTGCGTCCCTTTTCACTTGCTCTCTTCCTAATCATATTTTTGGATAAATATGTCTGATTACAAGCATCAGATTTTTGGTTGTTTACTTAAAATGGGTTTGTAATCGTAGATTCGCCCAATATTGGTTTCATTAGCCAACAAATTGATGAAAATCCTGATAATACCGTTTCAAATATTGATATGACGTATGATCCTGTCTCGTATAGTTTTAGAATTGAGTTTAAACACCATCACTTKTACTATTGAGAAACCCTAAATCCCCAATACAGGATCATGGTGCTTGATTTAGGGTAATACCGATGGTATTCAGTTTTAGCCATAAAGGGACTAATGTAAAAAATGCCCTTGTGATTTGTGGAGCTTACCTGATCAGACAGAATGTGACATTAGATTGTAATTGATGTAAAAGAAGTTGTGTGATAAGTGAAACATGATGTCAAAGTGATGACTTGAAACGGAGAAAACTCTAATAGATGCTTGATCTTTGTTTGTAATTATAGATGATAAGATTATCTGTTTGGGAAAAAAGACCAACTTGGCTAGGAGCCTTGATTGTAAAGGTACTAGGAATTCAATTTGGCACAGATATGTAACTGTAGACTTGTACTATCCTCACCCCAAAAAACTGGACAATAGATCAGCAGAAGAAATGATATACCTATGGACTCTGGTCAGTAACATACTATAGTAAGGACACTATAGGATTGGACTGGACTGGACTGGACTGGATGGGTGAGAATGAGGTGTGCGGGTGAAAGAATTGTGCAAGGTTTTAGGGTTTTAATTTAACATGTTGTTTGGTAATTTATCAATCTTGTTCCATCTTCTTGATTTTGTTCCAACTATTTTGGTGGGGAAAAATGCATTTTTGCCCCAATGTCCTGGTTTAATGCCACACCAACGTATTAGCTTGTGGATTCTGAATAGGACCTCCAAAATTTTGAGGCCTTATTTTACATATTCTGGGTTTAGGTTTCTTGAATCTTGATTTGAGTCGGGGTCCTCTTTTGAGTTGGTGGGTTTTTCTCTATTCTCTTCTCTTGTTTTTTTTCCCTGTATATGTCAAGGTTTCAACTTTGTCCACCTCGTCCTCCATCTTTGACGCCAATATCGTAAGCCTTTGATGTATTTTCATCATGCGGGCTTGATTTTCTACCCAACCGAGGACTTTGATCTTTAAAAGCATACATTTGATTTTGGATATGTTATAAAGTCGATCGCCTTTTGGGTTTTGGAATATTAGGGTTCCAAACTAAACCTTCCTCTTTTTCAGGGATTTGGCGTTAATATAAATAAGCCAGACCTTTCGTTCTTGGTCGTAGGTTTGCTTTCTAACTTTTTCTATTTTGAAAACTATGAAAGATTAGGTTTAGAATGTTAATTTACTATTTATCAATTGTCTTGGTACATGTTTAACATGACCTCCAATAAGATTGGAACGGCCCTAGCACCAAGCATGGGGAAAGTTTTTCTTCTATCATGTCTCGTCCCATATTATCCCGTGTACAAAATGCACCTTAACAGGCTAACAGCTATTCCAAACTCTGAATAAACAGTTGCCTAAGGTGTCCGGTGACCAATGTAATTCAATACAATAATCCTCAAGAACATGGAAAGTATGTATTCCTCTCCACCACATAAACCCTAATTGTACCCAACTTTGAAAAGGTTAACAAGGCTTTCAAGTTCTTGGCTTATGTTGTTTATAAAATTATATGCCACTTAATAACACATGTATGAGTAACCGATGCAGCATGAGTATTTCAAGATGAATTATGGACATCAGTGTTTTCCTGCTAGGTTAATGGGCAGGCATGGCTAATTTTAGTCCAGAACCATGATTCGTTGGTAACATTCTGTAATTAGAGAGATTAGAAGTTCACAAGCAGGTTGAGTATGATTTCAAGACCGCCAATTCTGCCACCTCCTTAGTGCCAGGGTGATAAAAGAAATAAATCTATATCTATATCTATATATATATATATATATTAAAGGAGAAACCAAGGTTGATGACTTAGCTTCTCCTAAAGGTTGGAAACTTATTTATCTTTTTTTTCATCCATCCTCCTTTAATCTTTTTTTTAATTTCACATTCTAATTTCTATAAACATTGATTATTCATTTATGTTTGCATTTAACACAATCTTTTCATTTTCCCTAACTCTTCTTCATAAATTGTTCATCATTCAATCTCTTTTCTCCATCTCCATCACTTGATTTGTTTTTCATTTCATTTTTCTCCATCTCCATCACTTGATTTGTTTTTCATTTCATTTTTCTCTATCTCCATCACTTGATTTGTTTTTCATTTCATTTTTCTCCATCTCCATCACTTGATTTGTTTTTCATTTCATAAATTGTTATTTTTCAACAAATTTATTTTCAAGTTTATTTCGAGAAGACTAATTCAGGTATGTGTTCCTTTTTATTTTTGTTGGCATTTTAGAATTTTGTTTTTTTTACTTTTCTCTTCTATGATTTTCATAAGTTTTCTCAATGAAACGGAGAGTTTGTTCTTGACAACACTTTTAGAGTTTTTATGGCAACAATGGTTCGATTAATCGTCTGATGATAGAATCTTGAAAGTATTACAAACCATGATGTAGCCTCAACAAATTTCAACATATTTCTGTAATGGTTATCTTTTTTCAAGTATACTTTGAGAAAACTAATGTGTGTATGCATTCCTTTTGACTTTTATTGAGATTTTTGAAGTTTTTTTGTTACAATTTTTCATGTAGCATCACCAAACTTCAACATGCGCTTAATGGTTACATTTTTTTTTCAGATTTATTTCGAGACGATTAATCTGAGTATGCAATTCTTCTTATTTTTGTTTGGATTTTAGAGTTTTTTAACTATAAATCTATATATCTATATCTATATATGATTATAATATCCAGGTTTCGTAAACTCGTACAAATTGGGTTAAGTAAATTTTTGGTAGAATTATGCATAATATATTTGTACCCTATGCTTAACCAACTTGTATCTCAGACCAGTTTTATGTCAAAAGTTGAGTTTATACCTAATTTGACGTAAAGTTGAGAATATAAACTTGAAGGGTTAAAACCGTCGAATGATTAACTTTATATATATATAATTAAAAATAAAAAAAAATAAAAAAAAAATATATATATATATTAAAAGAGAAACCAAGATATATATATTAAAAGAGAAACCAAGATTGATGACTTGGCTTCTCTTAAAGGTTAGAAACTTATTTTTTTTTTCATCTATCCTCCTTTAATCTTTATTTTTTTAATTTCACATTCTAATTGTCTATAAACATAGGTTATTCATTTATGTTTACATTTAACACAATCCTTTCATTTTCCTTAACTCTTCTTCATGAATTATTCATCATTCAATCTCTTTTTCTCTATCTCCATAACTTTATTTGTTTTTCATGTCATTTTTCTCCATCTTCATCACTTGATTTGTTTTTCATTTCATAAATTGTTATTTTTTAACAATTCTATTTTCAAGTTTATTTCGATAAGATTAATTTAGGTATGCATTCC